AGTCACCTTCCTGGAGTTCGACGAATCCATTAAGCATATTGTAGGCAGTAGTTGGGTTCACCTCAAGGGACAATTCAGAACAAATGTTATCGCAGAATAGAAAATACATACAGTCATAGTTGCGCCATGGGCTTCCGTTAAGCCAGTAGCTGGAAGCCGAATAATACCATGGGAGGGAACATTTCGGCTTGTCGACCATGTACCCAGTTGCGGTCGGTCCATTACTACCCAATCATCTTTCTGCAATCCCTCTACGCCTTCCCCAACCTCAATCACTTGCGCCAATCCTTCGTTACCTCCAACAAAGACCGGTTCGTTCTTACTTCCCAAGCCCGAGGTATTAAGATTGGATGTATGAGTTGGTTTGGAAGGGTAAACACCTTCAATAGTATTTACGTCGGCTGGATTGATAGGTGATAGAAGAAATTTAAGATTCACAGTGTTCGGTGAAGGGGAAGGAAGCTTTGGATACGTTACAGCAGTGAGAACTTGTGTAGGATCACCATTCTGTGCGTATACTATACAACGATTGATGGCAGCTGTAGAAGTAGAGAAAGAACGTTTTGCAGACCGCGTAATTGTTCTCGAGAGCATGGGAGTCGATAAAGAGAGCGCGTGAAAATATGACATCTCAGAAATCTGACCGGCGCTTAATTTATTTGTTTGGGTTGACTCACTCTTCACCACCACGAGCGATACCCCGCGATACACCAAATGTCCAAGAGGGACATTCCGAAGCCCATAAAATTCGTACGGTACGTGTGTTTCGACTGCAGTATATGGCTTTCAGCTGAATCTTGCTTAGTTTTGTAAAACTTGTCCAAGATATCGCGAAGAAGAGCAAGGCAAAATCCATTGCCGAGCGAAAGGCGGCGGACAAACACGAGGCTAAGATTTGGCCTGCATTTGATGTCTTTAAGAGTTTCTCCCGGGAAATACAGACTGGCCCTCTTCCATCGGGCACTACATCAGTGATATTTCGATTGTTGTTTCCCGAGGAGGACCACAAGCGAAAGTTCGGTTTGAGAGACAAGAGTCTTATTCGTGATATAGCCGATGGTCTTGGTATCAGCGAGGACACCTTTGACAAGTGTGATGGCTTTGTAGGATGTCCTGGGGACCAAGTTCATGACTTTCTCCACCAACGATATTCCGTGAGTCACTTTTAGGGTATCATTAGACTTCTGTCTGCTAATCAGTAGTACAACAGCCTGACAAGAGTTATTGCGGTAATCTTGACATCTTTGAAGTCAATAAACTTCTAGATCAACTGGCGTCTACATCGCCTTGGTCCCACTCGGACTATTCGAAGCAAACCCTCAGTCGCAATTCTACGAAGTCTCTTTTGACAAGAAAGGATATCTTGAAATCCCTTTATCGACAAATGGCACCATATGAAGCTGCCGTATTGACCCAGATCATCCTGAAAGATCTTCGTGAGTTGCTGTATCCGCAGATCGAAAAGGATCCTACGGCCGCTTTGAAGGATTATAACATCAAAGCAGTGAAGATCTTGACGAAAGAAAGTGCCATGTTCGCCTGGGACCCCTCAAACGGCATGAACAGGTCATATCGCGCAAGGTGGGATGTGGATGCTGCAGCCAATGCTTTCGAGAGTGGCAAGGAAGTTGGGCCAAAGATTGGAGTTCAAATTGCGGTGTGTATCCGCGCTCTTATACTCTCCCGGCTTTCATTGATTATCTGGATCCTTTGTTACAACGTTGTTGACGACTTTCATGTCCTTGGCAGGTCCCGAAATCTCAAAAAGGTCGTAGTTGCAAGCACGCGCTTTCATTTTTCTCGAGTTCATCAAGAGTCTGGGCTGAGACTAAATATGATGGAGAACGGGCACAAATACATGTCCAAGTTATTCCGGGTCAAAAGCCTCGCATCACCATTTTTAGCAAAAGTAAACGGGATTCAACAGGCGATCGCAAAGCTGTACACGCCATCATTTTGGACTGTCTGGGTTTAAGTGGTCAATCAGGGGTCGAACCGCGAATCAAGAATAGCGTCGCGTTGGACGCTGAGATGGTTCCGTGTGAAGGCACAAAAATTTTAGGTAATTCGATGTCGACGCCTCGTTATTGAAGTAACTCTCATCGGTTCATTCACAGAGTTCTGGCGTATTCGACGACTGATTCGCGAAACTGCTGTGGGCATCAGGGGTAGTCGCAAATGGTCAAGAGAGAATAACACTCAAACTCAAGAGCAAAATCAACCGTGAGTGTTCAATTCGAGGACTCGCCTTTCATTCTTCCTCTCATTCAATCTTACCTAGTGACGATTGTGTATCTGAATCATCTCTCTTGTCCAACACAGAAGGCCAACACCTTGGCCTGGTCTTCTTCGATGTCATGCATCGCGATAATGATTCCCTAGTGCAGACACCTTATTATCGTCGTCGCGAAATACTCGAGCAACTGATCATAAAGCAACCAGGAAAAGCAATGTTAGCGGATAGATGGCTCATCAACCTTCATGAACCTTTTCATGGTTCTCCCAGTGATTGTAATTTCAGCGAAGACTACAGTGCTAATGATTGGGATACCACTGATAACCATCAGGAAGATGAAGAGGATGAAGATGAAGGCGCCGCGAGACGTGTTTTGCATGCCATATTTGCTCGACGTATAGCAATCGGCGAGGAAGGATTAGTACTCAAAGCAGTGGATTCGGAGTACAATGAATACAGAAAACCCTGGGTCAAGTTGAAGAAGGATTACATCGAGGGGCTTGGAGATACTGTTGATCTAGTCGTTTTGGGTGCAGCGTGCGTTCCGGATCGTGCACTTGAGCTGAGAGGTACGAGATTATCTTCTCTTTATGATCCATCAGGTTGAAATCAAAAAAAAGTTCCTTTAACCACATTGACGACCTTCTATATTGGAGCACAGACCAATAAAGAAGAAACTCTAAATAATGTGGGTTGTTCCAATCTTTCAATATTGAAATAGTACTTAACGGCTCAATAATGACAGCCCAAGGCGTTACCCCACTTCTACATCTATTTCACTGCCGCGTATGGACTATCTCGAACGGAGTTGGAAGGTCTAAACTTCTTAATCAGGAATGATGACCCCGTTCGATGCAACACAAAGCGACTGGTTCGTGATACATCTACCCCGGACAAGAGACACATTGATTGATTCTCTTGACGCTCTTCAGCCAGGGTTCGGACTAAAATACACATATACCATGTATGACAAGCTTGCTCGACCTGAGCTCATGTTAAGAGAACCGTTAGCAGTAGAACTGTATGGTGACAGGTTCACTGTTTCCGAGGGAAGCAAGGTCTGTTTCAATTCTCGAACTCACACATCCTGAGCACCCAGTTAATCTTGCAATCAGCAATACGAACTACGCTGGCCTCGAATTACAAAATACTTTCGTCGTCACGAGCGCTCTTGGTCGGAATGCATGTCGTTACAAGACCTGAGAACGCAAGCCCGTGAGGCGGTGGGTCGTGTCGCAGCTAAAGAGGTAGCTCGTAAAGAGGCGGAAATCACGTTCAACCTGACCGCTCTACCAGCAGGTCAGAAGGACATCGCAAGTCATAGGCCTGATGATATTTGTAAGCAGGTAGAGATGTGGAGGGTGAAGGTCGCTGAAGCGGACAAACCTAAGAGAAGACGACGCGCAACAGATAAGGGGTCTAGGGAAAAGATCTCTGCTTTATTGGGAAAATCGAGGAAACGGAGGCCGTTTGTAATGAGTAAAAGTGGGTCTCTCCCTCGAAAGAAGGTCTGTAAAGGTGATGACAAAACGATTCCGAGCGACCTTGCGGGATGGTGTACCATTACCTCTCGTCACTCCATCCCACGTCTAGAGAGTTCTGAACAGCCTTCTCATATCGAGACCTGCATGCTCAACAGTGGTTGTAATGTCGGGATAACCACAGCCTCAGATCCTAATTCTACCCCCAGACGATTTTTTGATGTCGTTCCTCACTATAATGAGCTGTTTGTCAAAGATCAACGGACTGCACCATTGCAGGCTCCGACGAATACGATCCAAACTCACGAAGGCTCTCCTCAAAAAACTTTCGTTTTTACCAGGGATGAAAACAGTCAGTCCTCTGGAACCAATTCCCCTACTCCGACTTCAATAAAATCACAGTTTCCTGCAATGGACTCACCTCATTCGAAGCAAGGACAATTTCCCAGTCCTCCCGTCTCGCCGATGAAGTCTCCACACCCATCGCACAAGGATGGAGAGGATTGCACCTCATCCTTAGCCGACTTACCGGCCACGGTTGACCCATTTTTCAGGGGGGCTTTATTCTGGGTGCCTTTTCTTAAGGAGAGCCAGTCCAATCTCCCTTCCATCAAATCCATAGTCGAGTCTGGTACTCGTGTTAATGGGTTGGATGCTTTCCTTGGTGCATGTAGGTGGAATCCAAGGAAGTATCATCCAGTCGAGCCTCCACTGATACGGGGCGTAGTGTTCGTGGACCTTGATGATGAGTGGGGTCCACGTTGGAAGAGAGACCTGTCGGAACGCGTTGGGCATCTTGGCCCTCAGTGGAGATGTACAGATGAACCTAGGGTTGCGATCTGGATTTTCAACCGCAGGTCGGTATTTACGACAGAAATGGATGTGCGTTCCCAAGCTCTCCATGTGTTTGAATGATCTTGAGCAGAATATTCTTATATGTAATTTATACCATGGTATCAAAAATGTCAGTCACTATGTAAGGAAGGTCTCGGAGGACCTTTCAGAAATCTGAGTGATATTGTATATTATTGATTGACGAATCCAAACAGAACATAGAGCGGATGGAATAAAGCAGTTGTAGATGATCCTCAACACCAATATGGGTCTGACAGAAGCACGGTAACAGAAGGGTCCCTTGCAGCTGGAGCCAAAGAATTCTTCCTAACCTAACGGTAATTAGTCTTAGCTATCTCCCTATGTTTTCTGCTATGGGACCGTGGTGACGGCACCGCTTTGACTTAACTACGTTGTACTATCCGTAAAGAAGAAAAAAAAAGAAACGATGCTCCCTGCAAGGCTCGAACTTGCGACCTCGAGATTATAGTCACTGGATAGGACCTCATATTATGAGACTCGCGCTCTAGCCAACTGAGCCAAGGAAGCGATACGCTTTGAAAGATGAACACGGATTCAATTGATTATAAATGCAGATTTTAGATTGTCTACCTATAAGAAATACATGATAAATCTACAGCCCCGCTGCATATTGAAGCATTCCCAGCATTTTGATCTAAGAGTTCGTAAGATAAGTAAGAGTCAGTGCACATCGAGCAACAATATGCATACCTTCTCCTCCTCTGTATCACCAAAAACGGCCCAAGGGTCCCGTCCATCCTTGAACTCAATTGCGAAAGAGTGTTTGATAGCTTTGAGCTCTTCGAATCCCTCGTTTGGTTCGCGAAAACCAGCAATCTGTCCTCGGAGTTCAACCTCATCGAGAACTTGATTCATGTCCTACAGAAAACCGATCAAATCATCGAGTGGTAACAAATGTTTGCGTCCTACACACTTTTGGACTTCGATACAAAAAGATTTTGCTGGCAATGAGCTTGACATAGCGTCTCCGCCATACAATGGAATCGCCTGTCTGTAAAGTCGCCCACGCACTTGTCCACCCAGTGGATCTCAACTCCATTTTCACCTCTTTGATCATTTCCTGGACTTTGATCTTCCTCGCAGCATCCGCCCTCTTCCTATCATCATCTTCTTTCCGCTTCTCTGCCTCTGACTCCTGCGCTAATCGCTGGCGCCATTTTTCCAGCTTTCCATGTTCTTCAATCCTCCGTCTGCGATCCATCTCCTTCCTCATCTCGATCTCGTTCCTTTTCTTCGCATCCTCCTCCCTTTCTCTTTGTTCCCGTGCGCGGCGTTGGGCGGTAATTTCCTGTAGCTCCTGTTCGAGCATTGCCTTTCGCCAAGCCTCTTCCTCTTCTTCCTGTCGTTTAAACTCTTCCTTTTCTTCCTTTATTCGTGCCCGGCGCTCAGCCTCTTCCTTTAAAGCCTGCTGTTCCTCTAGCGCACGCTGCTGTTGAGCAAGCTGCCGTCTTCGTGCGCGTTCCTTCGGGTCTGGAATGAACACAGTATCCTGCATCCATTTGCGATCAACAGGAACAGGTGGCAGGGTGCCGTCGGACTTGTTTGAAGTGAGTCGTTGTGCCGTCTTGGAAGAAGGACTAGGATGTTCGACGATAACATCGTCGTCAGATGATAGTATAGGATGTGATATGAACGCGAATTCTGCGAGACTGTTCCTAAGCTCCGATTTGGATGTATTTCTAGGTCGGGTATAGCTATATTTGGATATCGGAAGACTGTTGTCTTTGGGAGGAGTGGGAGGCGCTGCGTCCTTATCACTTTCCCAAGGAACGTCATTTCTGGGCGTAGCGCGGTTGCGACGTAGGATGCTGGAGAAGAGACTCTGTGATTTTGGTGGGCTAGAATAATTCGGTGGGATAACAGAAGGATTGTGATTTTCTGTGAAGGAGCGCCGAATAGGGAGAAACATGGATTCAGATGTGGAGGGTTGGTCGGTTGGTTCTGGAGATGATGCGGAACGTTCAATGCGAATATTGTGAACACCGTCAGGGTTGAGGACAGCTTGATGTATTGCAGATGGAGTGAGGTTGGAAAGATGGTCAATGGTCAATGTTGCGTGTTTAGTCTGAGGGAGAACAATACCGAAGTTAATTTCGCACCATAAACAATAAAGACTTGTTACCTCAGAGAACAAAGCTCCAACACGTCGTGACTGCACAAGGGCACGAGCTGGTTACATATAAATGAGCATTTCAACAACACATTTCAAAGCTGTGTACCTCGTCTTATGCCTGATATTGAGGATGGAATATAGTTAATCAGGGCAAATCCAGGCTTTGACCGTACTTGTGGCAATTCCTCATGATAGAAAGCTATGTGTACTGCCGAAAGGTCCTCGAATGACTGCTTCAGCTCGGAAAGGCCTTTGAAGCCGGAGGCGTGGAGGTAAAATTCATCAGACTGTAATAGGAAAGCTTTATCAGTATTACACATAGCAACTTCAACCCCCCGTCTCGTACGTACACTTTCGTCGTATTTCAACAGTAGCCTGTGTAGGAATTCGATGGATGCACGACGTATTGAATAGGGGATGGAACATACCAGTTAGAATCTGAATCGACAATAGCATTATATTTAACTAAAACGGCATTTATGTCGGTTATGTTCGCGGAGGTCATTTTCATGTATTTCTATAGAAATTCCACAAGCTCAGTTTTGGATTTCAGTATGCGGGCTTCCTAAGATTTGAAGGCAGGTCAAGGAAGGAAATCAAGCAGAATAGACTGTTGGATGATCATGGAAGTCGGAGTTATATAATGATAAGAAAGCAACGATTGTTACAACTGCAATGATATGCATGATCCACTTTTCAACTGAGTTCATTGAGCATCAAACATCACAATCAATGTGGTGACTTGTGTTGCAGTCAGAGAAAACATGTTGGCATTCCCATCCCTAAAGCCCAAAATTAAACAGCCTATACATCGATGTACATACAACTTTCCCCAGTCCCCATCGTCAGAACTTCAAGGACAGAACGTTATTGTAGCAGGTATGGCTCCTACAATCATTCGTCAACAAGAGAAAAGCAATCACCAGGCTCTCACTTACCAGCACCACAAGCTCGAACCTATTCAAGAGCACAATGAGCTGAAAATGTGCACAAGTTTTCTGAAATTACGCACGGGTGCATCTATCTCGGTTCCACAGCCAGCCTCATTCTATCATGTCAGCCCGTCAGCTCGATTGCCACAAACAACATAGTATCTGGAGTAGCTTACACCAGGGGGATACGCATCTGAGCACTAAACAAAACAAGGATTATTAGATTTGTCTCACTCCCTTACACTATAACACTTACCGAGCAGTCCACACTTGAGCAAGTAACAGTTTCGCACCCTTGCATTTGTATAGACATTGCTTGTGTGAAATCCTGAATGTTGGAAATATCATAGGCTTGCGCTGTGACTGTATCACCGGTATCTAAGTTTACAATCGTCAAAAAGTTGCTCATCACTGGTTCTGATATTTGCTGTAGGAGGCTCACCAAGGTTGAATTCCCCCACTGAGCAATTCTCGCCTTTAGCACCACACTGGGATGTGTCCGTTTGCCCAAAGATTCGACCGACCCACTGTATGGCGAAGAAGAAAAGACGCACTCAATATCAGATTGAATAAAATTAGACATACGTTCGCAGGTATCGTTACTACCGTGGAGCCTCCTGCAGGGATCGCTCCTGGCTGAGACGCAGTGTACGATGAGGCATCGGTACAACCTGTATAACTTGCGTTATAGACTTTGCAGACAAAAGATAGAAACGTTGATCAAGCTTACGAGGAGAATATCCGCACTTCGTGTCTTCGACATGCGCAGTGATAGAATTCGGACACTTGTTAACGAGAGTGAACTTTTTTTGCGCATTATGGAACGAACACGATCAGATATACACTTAGGGAGCGTTGAAGAATGGTCAATGACCAGGGAACATACCGCATGATCTCCTGTAGCCCTTCTTAACAATATGGGAGCCGCCCAGGTCGACGATATAAATAACAAGGTGCTGAGGTAACTGATAAAATGCTTCATATTCATCGGTGTAAAAAGAGGTGGAGAAGGATAGTGTTCGTGCTTGGGTATATTCGCTCAACGAATATTCCGAAAAAGGGGAGAAATGCTTGTCCAAGAGCGTACCGGCGCAAGAGGTGAAAAATTTTTCCGTTCCCGTCATTCGTTTATAAGAACTTGGTGTGGGAAACCTCCAGACTTTCCGTCGCTCTGCGAAGCGAAGGCGAATGAATATTTAACTGAAGAATGGTTGACTGCGTCGGCTAAGCTCTGACTAGGCTCTGATATACCTCTAACATGTATAAGGAATGTCAGGGAAATGAGAACAGGGGGGAGAATTAGAAAACAAGATGAGATTACATCAACGAGACTGATATATTCGTCCAAGTGCACGAAAAAAGGGAGAGAATTGTCAATATGCAATAAAGGCCCTTCACAGACTCTTCGTTATACAGAATCCTTCCTCGCCTGCTCAATGGCAGCAGACCCATCCTTTCTTTCATCGAACTGATACATCGGGAAATCCAGCAACAGAGTCTTCTTCAAAAACTGCGGTAGAGGTTTGTAAATGACCGGGGGAATAGGAATAAGAATGGATGTTTTCCGCAAGTAATTCTTATAATTCGACCATGCATGAGCATGTTCTTCCGGCGCGTTGTTACCGTAGCTCATGAGAAAAAACTTCTTTGCTTGAGGCTTTTCTGCAGTGGGTACGCCAGAGCCGAACATGAGTAAACTGGAGGAAGAAGTATATCAATTGCAAAAACCGAGTAACTACAGGAAACGCACATAAGAGTGAGAAGCGGTGATACGATAGCACCATACTGAGCGGATTTAGAGGAAGAGGAAAGAGTGCCGTTTGTTGTAGGTGAAAGACACAATATCCAGATTCCCCACCAGCAAATGATTCTAGAATGTGTCCTGTTCATCGAATAGATTTCGGGGCTCAAAATGGAAAACGCACTCTCCAAAATAAGGAGGATGACGAGACCATTTCCACAAACCAGTCTGGCAAAAAAAAGGTACTGTCAATGAGATATAGAAAATGGACAGGGCCTTTTACACACTAGAACAGGCTTGTCTTTCGGCTTGTCTTTCGCCATCTTGTATTTGAACTGGTTACGGGGTGAGTTATTTTCAATCACATCTGATAAATGGAATAAACCTTCTGAGCATCGGATACCGTTTCAATCAGCCATCCCAAAGTCCAAAGCACTATCCCTGAGATATCACGCGAGGTACCAAAGGCAGGACTCGATCCAGAGCGAGTCGTGTCGGATATAGCGGGGGAATTGAGGATGATGAGGGGTAGAGACACGGTCCAGACCTGAATAGCAACGATGATCAAAAAGTGAACAGGGTGGTACGACTGAACACACCCAGAGGATTTGACCTAGTAATCGCCATGGAAGGTCAGTCCGAGAACGAAAATCCAGTCGAAGAGTGATTACCTAGCCAGAATCCTGCATAGACGGGAATCAAACTCGGGAAGATGAGTCCA